ACTGGGTCCACTGTCGAAACGATGTCGAAGACTGGTGTCGCAAATGTACAAGTTGTGCGGCTGTAAAGGGACCTCAGACTCTTAGTAGAGGTGCATTGAAGTTGTACAATGTTGGTGCACCATGGGAGAGAATAGCCATTGACGTGGCGGGGCCGTTTCCGGAGAGTGAAAGCGGTAACAAGTATTTTATGATTGTGATGGATTACTTCATTAAGTGACCAGAAGTCTTCGCCATTCCAAATAAAGAAGCTTCAACAGTTGTAGATAAACTAGTTCATGAAGTCTTCTGTCGTTTTGGAGTACCTTTAGAGCAGCGATCAAGGACGGAATTTTGAGTCTCAAATATTCCAGGAAACTTGCCGAGTTATGGGTCGATGCCGACTTATAAAATAAGAACGACTTCTTATCACTCTGCAATCTGATGGAATGATAGAACGATTTAATCAGACATTGGAGAAGTATCTAGCAAAAGTTGTAGACAACCGGCAACGAGATTGGGACAAGCAAATTCAACCGTTTTTGTAGTCATATAGAAGCGCTGTTCACGAAAGTACATCAGTAACACCAGCTTTCGCAAACTTTGGAAAAGAATTACGGCTGCCTGCAGACCTGATCACCGGGATACCACCTGATGCCCCACGAAATAAAGTGAATCAGTGTGATTAATTATTAGTGTTTTAAGTTTTAATTGGTGTTCGGTAATAAAAGTGTAAATTTTGGTAATTCAATCGGCAGTTTTTATTGTCACGAACCTCAAGCTCGTAACAGTATAAAAAGAATACTAATCATAATAGACATTCGTATAAATATTCATAATCACGTTAATTCAAGGGTTCCTTCTTACCTAGGTGAGGATTTTAATTTTAATCCAAAAACTTATACTTCTTCTGTTATAAAATTAATGTGACCAGCGAAGTAAGTGGATACTGCCCATTGACACCCTCAGCCAACTTCAAACAGTGAAGATTACAGATGCGTTATCACTACTTAAGACTATAATATAATGTCTCACAGCCTGTAATTTACTGGTTCTCAATACCCTTTTGACCGGCGCACAGCTGCGCACGCACCGCTGCTTGGTGCTAGAAACAGTTAAGACTATGATAGAATGTCTCACAGCCTGTAATTTACTGGTTTTCAATAGCCTTCTGACCGGCACACAGCAGCGCACGCACCGCTGTTTGGTGCTAGAAACTGTTAAGACTATGATAGAATGTCTCACAGCCTGTAATTTACTGGTTCTCAATAGCCTTCTGACCGGCACGCAGCAGCGAACGCACCGCTGCTTGGTGCTAGAAACTGTTAAGACTGTGATAAAATTTCTCACAGCCTGTAATTTACTGGTTCTCAATACCCTTCTGACCGGCGCACAGCTGCGCACGCACCGCTGCTTGGTGCTAGAAACAGTTAAGACTATGATAGAATGTCTCACAGCCTTTTACTGGTTCTCAATAGCCTTCTGACCGGCACACAGCAGCGCACGCACCGCTGTTTGGTGCTAGAAACTGTTAAGACTATGATAGAATGTCTCACAGCCTGTAATTTACTGGTTCTCAATAGCTTTTCTGACCGGCACACAGCAGCGCACGCACCGCTGCTTGGTGCTAGAAACTGTTAAGACTATGATAGAATGTCTCACAGCCTGTAATTTACTGGTTCTCAATAGCCTTCTGACCGGTACACAGCAGCGCACGCACCGCTGCTTGGTGCTAGAAACAGTTAAGACTATGATAGAATGTCTCACAGCCTGTAATTTACTGGTTCTCAATAGCCTTCTGACCGGTACACAGCAGCGCACGCACCGCTGCTTGGTGCTAGAAACTGTTAAGACTATGAAAGAATGTCTCACAGCCTGTAATTTACTTGGTCTCAATAGCCTTCTGACCGGCACACAGCAGCGCACGCACCGCTGTTTGGTGCTAGAAACTGTTAAGACTATGAAAGAATGTCTCACAGCCTGTAATTTACTGGTTCTCAATAGCCTTCTGACCGGCACACAGCAGCGCACGCACCGCTGTTTGGTGCTAGAAACTGTTAAGACTATGATAGAATGTCTCACAGCCTGTAATTTACTGGTTCTCAATAGCCTTCTGACCGGCACACAGCAGCGCACGCACCGCTGTTTGGTGCTAGAAACTGTTAAGACTATGATAGAATGTCTCACAGCCTGTAATTTACTGGTTCTCAATAGCCTTCTGACCGGCACGCAGCAGCGAACGCACCGCTGTTTGGTGCTAGAAAATGTTAAGACTATGATAGAATGTCTCACAGCCTGTAATTTACTGGTTTTCAATACCCTTCTGACCGGCGCACAGCTGCGCACGCACCGCTGCTTGGTGCTAGAAACAGTTAAGACTATGATAGAATGTCTCACAGCCTTTTACTGGTTCTCAATAGCCTTCTGACCGGCACACAGCAGCGCACGCACCGCTGTTTGGTGCTAGAAACTGTTAAGACTATGATAGAATGTCTCACAGCCTGTAATTTACTGGTTCTCAATAGCCTTCTGACCGGCACACAGCAGCGCACGCACCGCTGTTTGGTGCTAGAAACTGTTAAGACTATGATAGAATGTCTCACAGCCTGTAATTTACTGGTTCTCAATAGCCTTCTGACCGGCACACAGCAGCGCACGCACCGCTGTTTGGTGCTAGAAACTGTTAAGACTATGATAGAATGTCTCACAGCCTGTAATTTACTGGGTCTCAATAGCCTTCTGACCGGCACACAGCAGCGCACACACCGCTGCTTGGTGCTAGAAACTGTTAAGACTATGAAAGAATGTCTCACAGTCTGTAATTTACTTGTTCTCAATAGCCTTCTGACCGGCACACAGCAGCGCACGCACCGCTGTTTGGTGCTAGAAACTGTTAAGACTATGATAGAATGTCTCACAGCCTGTAATTTACTGGTTCTCAATAGCCTTCTGACCGGCACACAGCAGCGCACGCACCGCTGTTTGGTGCTAGAAACTGTTAAGACTATGATAGAATGTCTCACAGCCTGTAATTTACTGGTTCTCAATAGCCTTCTGACCGGCACACAGCAGCGCACGCACCGCTGTTTGGTGCTAGAAACTGTTAAGACTATGATAGAATGTCTCACAGCCTGTAATTTACTGGTTCTCAATAGCCTTCTGACCGGCACGCAGCAGCGAACGCACCGCTGCTTGGTGCTAGAAACAGTTAAGACTATGATAGAATGTCTCACAGCCTGTAATTTACTGGTTCTCAATAGCCTTCTGACCGGCGCACAGCTGCGCACGCACCGCTGCTTGGTGCTAGAAACAGTTAAGACTATGATAGAATGTCTCACAGCCTGTAATTTACTGGTTCTCAATAGCCTTCTGACCGGTACACAGCAGCGCACACACCGCTGCTTGGTGCTAGAAACTGTTAAGACTATGAAAGAATGTCTCACAGTCTGTAATTTACTTGTTCTCAATAGCCTTCTGACCGGCACACAGCAGCGCACGCACCGCTGTTTGGTGCTAGAAACTGTTAAGACTATGATAGAATGTCTCACAGCCTGTAATTTACTGGTTCTCAATAGCCTTCTGACCGGCACACAGCAGCGCACGCACCGCTGTTTGGTGCTAGAAACTGTTAAGACTATGATAGAATGTCTCACAGCCTGTAATTTACTGGTTCTCAATAGCCTTCTGACCGGCACACAGCAGCGCACGCACCGCTGTTTGGTGCTAGAAATTGTTAAGACTATGATAGAATGTCTCACAGCCTGTAATTTACTGGTTCTCAATAGCCTTCTGACCGGCACACAGCAGCGCACGCACCGCTGTTTGGTGCTAGAAACTGTTAAGACTATGATAGAATGTCTCACAGCCTGTAATTTACTGGTTCTCAATAGCCTTCTGACCGGCACGCAGCAGCGAACGCACCGCTGCTTGGTGCTAGAAACAGTTAAGACTATGATAGAATGTCTCACAGCCTGTGATTTACTGGTTCTCAATACCCTTCTGACCGGCGCACAGCTGCGCACGCACCGCTGCTTGGTGCTAGAAACAGTTAAGACTATGATAGAATGTCTCACAGCCTTTTACTGGTTCTCAATAGCCTTCTGACCGGCACACAGCTGCGCACGCACCGCTGCTTGGTGCTAGAAACTGTTAAGACTATGATAGAGTGTCTCACAGTCTGTAATTTACTTGTTCTCAATAGCCTTCTGACCGGCACACAGCAGCGCACGCACCGCTGCTTGGTGCTAGAAACAGTAAAGTCTGTGATAGAATGTCTCACAGCCTGTAATTTACTGGTTCTCAATAGCCTTCTGACCGGTACACAGCAGCGCACGCACCGCTGCTTGGTGCTAGAAACTGTTAAGACTATGATAGAATGTCTCACAGCCTGTAATTTACTTGTTCTCGATAGCCTTCTGACCGGCACACAGCAGCGCACGCACCGCTGCTTGGTGCTATAAACAGTAAAGACTGTGATAGAATTTCTCACAGCCTGTAATTTACTGGTTCTCAATAGCCTTCTGACCGGTACACAGCAGCGCACGCACCGCTGCTTGGTGCTAGAAACTGTTAAGACTGTGATAAAATTTCTCACAGCCTGTAATTTACTGGTTCTCAATACCCTTCTGACCGGCACACAGCAGCGCGCGCACCGCTGCTTGGTACTAGAAACTGTTAAGAGGACACAAGAGACAGACCTTGGCAGAAAGTACTCCTATCACCTACAAAGTATTTTAAGAATTCTTTTTTTGCTTAATTTTTAAACAATTCAAAAATATGTGATAACATAAAAACACAAAGTTGTGGCAGTATAGACACTTTATTAAATACAAAGTTTCAATGCTTTAGAAAGCATCAAAACTTTGTATTTAAAAAAAATATATCAATGAGGGTGACTATTTTTCTGGAATATAAAGAGTTGTTTTTGCCTTGCTTCGAAGGCACTGCTTGTATTACATTTAATTTGATAAATATTACAATGTTGTAACGTCATAACAAATAAAACAACAATTAAAATAAATATTCAATAGTATAAATATCCATACTCAATATCATAATCTAAATAGTCCCTAGACGGATCCAAGTCCCCAGAGCGCCGAGTTCCAAACCAATTTTCTAACTCAGGGTACGCCTCCATCAACATTCTGGCCTGTTTCTTATTCATTGTGCCATTTACAACTATTTCTCTGAACGTACTATTGTTTATAAAGTTCCTGTTCATTAGGCGTATTTCATTCAATTTCTTCATAAGCGCTGCATCAATTTTTATCATGTCCATCTCGTGAAGTTCCTTCACAGACTGTCGGTCTTCTCTGTACTTCTTCTTCAACTCCTTGATATAATTCTTCAGATTCTTTGTCTGCTTCTTTCTAATCAATGTCCCGTTCTTGTACATTCTGTTCAATATTTTTCTTATCTCTCTTACTATTTTCTCTATACTCTTTTTGATTCTACGTTTTCTTTTGAGTCGGTCATTTTTACGTTTTTTTTTATCTTGCTTTCTTTTCTTGCGTTTTCTTTCTTTAGAGTCCTCTTGTCGTTGTTTCTTTTCTTCTGAATCTGTTCCGAAACTAGATTCATCAAAAGAGTTATCGAAGGCCTGATACATGTCATAACTTGTTAACTGTAGACCGCAGCAAACGAATTTCGTCCGACCGCAGAAGTAATCTCCTCTGTATATACGAAACTCTCCTTCGCATTCCATCGGTAACATGCAAGTTCCCCATGGCATATCGTGTTGGTTTGGATCACCGCAGGGTACGCCCCATGGTCCTTAAATATAAATAATTCACATAATTATAGCAAGCAATAAAGAACCCTGTAAGCACAGAGAAAAATCGTTATTTTACTTTTGTATTCTCTTATTAACCCTTTTATTACACCTACTTAATTATATATTTGCATCTAACCCAAGGTATACTGGTAGAGAATGCCTCAGACATTAAGTCTACCTGTACACCACGTGTGTATATTAAGTTTTAAGTAAATAAATAAAACCTTCTCTTAATTTAAAAAAAAAAGTATTATAGTTTGCAAGCCCTAAAATATTTTAATATTCAAGTTCTGATTTAGCTCGGGCTCTACAATGAAGATCATAAAGAAACTTGTAAAATGATTAAAATGAAATCCTAAAATGTTCTGAAGAAATACTCCATGCAATTAAGCAGCGCAGCAAATTTTCCTGCTCCAAAATCTCTCATAAATGAGAGGAGATCTATGCCTAGTAATGAAAGGTAAACTGTTATCTATTTGACCTAGTAACAAGCATACCTATCTTTTTCAATATACTCATAAAACACATAACGACTGTTACAGCCTATCAAAAGTTCACTACTGAACACAGGCTCCCGTCATGGTGCGGATATTTACCAGTTGCCACGCTTGGCAGGCAGGTTCGCAACCGTACCTTTTTACTTTTTTTAATAATTTTAGGAAAACACTGATGCCCTTCTCGTGGTTTATATCTTTGTAGTAGAAATTCTTACACCGCCACTTCACGGGCAACATCATTCATGGAAACATCATTCCATATAATACAATAAAATATTTTTATTTCAGACATAGCTTTAAAAGCATATTATAAACAGAAAGCTTCGTCCATAAAATTTCATCGATCCCTGCCTGCTACTTGATATATATTAGAACTAGGATTAAAATTCGACCATAGCTTATAATTTTCAAACATTTTTTTACAAATGATTGAACCCATTTTAACTTCTCTTACCACTATTTTTTGTATTACCTATTCTAAAACTTACAATATTTTTGAAACTTTTGGTATTTGGTATCGAAGGAAAAAATTGAAAAACTGAAAAAACGGTTTGTGTCGAGAATAGTGGCACGCTAGTGGGGGAGGGCGGGAGGTGCTCTTCAGCCTAGGTAAGGCACGTCATTTTATTATATAAGGAAACCTAGAAAATCTTTCCGCTGTTTATACATATTTTTTTATTTATTAACTTAGCTATAACTTGGGGTCGGGTCGCTCAGATCAGTAGGTTTCCACCACCTAACCCTATGCCCACCATGCACTTGTCCCTCGGTCGGTGCTAAACTAGCTTCACAGCCATAGGAACAGACCTGGCTATTTACCATGTGGTAGCGGCGTATCTACAACCTACCTCTCCATTTCGAACTGTGAGTCAAACACAGAAGGATATGACACCGACTTCCCGGTACCTCTTTAATGAGGCAGGGGTGCAAAGGATCTCCGGGAGTATAATCTGGTGACCGGTGGCAACCCGTAACGTTCTGTCTTACGAATGAGCGAGAAGTGAATTGCGGAAACCCGACAATGTATATGAAGCAATTAATGATAAGACGAATGAAGTATGCGAAATAATGTATAGTAGAGGAATAGATGTGCTATGTGTAAATGAGACGAAACGGAAGGGAAAGGATACCACTACACATGACATGTACACCGCTTACTGGTCTGGTGTAGATCTTTACCACTAAATCACTGTCCACACAATTCTTCTCCTGCCGGCCGTCGACAAATCATTACTTAAACAAAATGTCAATGCATGTACAAACAATTTTATATTTCATAAAGTATCATTAGAAGATATTGTAAAATATTTTAAAACTTATGCAAGGTCAGTAAGAGTAGCACAAAATTGGTTTAAGCGTATCCAGTCCGGGAATTTTGATTTCAAATATGCAGTCCGCTCCGGTCGCCCTCAAATAGATAAAGTCGATGCGATATTAGTAGTTACGATATAGCCGAGGAATTGAGGATTGACCACAAAACAGTTTTGATCCATTTGAAAAGGTCAGGCTATGCAAAAAAGCTTAATGTGTGGGTACCATACAAGCTCACTGAAAGAAACCTAATGAATCGTGTACTCATTTGCGATTCTCCATTGAAACTTAACGAAACCGAACTATTTTTTAAAAGATTGATCACTGTTGATGAAAAGTGGAACACCTATGACAAGACCGTGCGAAAAAGATTATGGCCAAAGAGTAATTCAAGCTCCAGAGACTGTGTAGCGAAACCCGCATTAACACGCAATAAGGTGATGCTGTGTGTATGGTGGGATTGCAGTCATCGTTTATTATGAGCTTTTACCGCCGGGCAAAACCATCGATATGGATATCTACCGCTAACAGCTAATGAGACTCAAGACATAAATTGAGAAAAAATGGCCGGTAATGATAAACAGAAAAGGAGCGGTCTTTTATCACGATAACGCTAAAACACACACACACATTTGCCCACTCAGCAAAAATTGAGAGAGCTTGGTTGGGAAGTGTTGATGCATCCACCATATAGTCATGTCCTTGCACTCTCAGATTTTCATTTGTTTCGGTCTCTTCAGAATTCTTTGGGTATTATTAGGTTAATATCAAGAGAGTACTGTCAAAAATACTTGTAGCATTTTTTTGATCAAAAATCCCAAGATTTCCACATCAACGAGATTGTGTCACTACCTACAAGATCGCAACAAGTTATCGAATAAAATGGCACATATATATTATAATTAAATGCAGGGCCGGCTCTAACCATAAAAGCGCCCCGGACGAGTGATTCCTTCGGCACCCTTTTATATCCTAGATACTGTTGTAATATATGTACATATATGTAAATGTTGTAAACGTGAAAGTTTGTAAGGTATGTTACGATGTTTAGACGCAAAAATTACTGAACGAATTTTGTTGAAAATTTCCGGTAGTATAGCTTATACATCAGAATAACACATAGACTATAATTTATAACAATATTGTATAAATTATGTTATGCTGACTACGCGGGCGAAGCCACGGGCTGGTAGCTAGTTTGATTATAAGTAAAAACTAATTTAAAATTTTGTAGATACAATATTTTTATTGAGTTAGTAGACAAACGCATATTTATCATTATTAATAATTACATATTTTATATATCCATTATCTAACAATGTAGGGTACACCTTACAATTAGTGGTACTTTTAGCACTTTTCGCCATGATTTTTGTTCCTAAAACTAAATTACATGTGAGATACATGTGAATCTTTATTTGTCAAACGTCTTTAAAAATGATCATTGTGCAAGTAATAAAAAAATGACTTGACTTTCAGAATTGTTTAAAAGTAGGTACAATCATTGCCTCCTTGAAGTGACGAGTATAACTAAAAATAACAAAAAGAAAAAAACCCTCAAAATGATATTAATTTAACTTAAAATTAAATACATAAGCACGAGTAATTTTAGGTCAGAATAAACTTTAATTAGCCAATGTCTCAACGTAATGAATCAGATTTAATTAAAATTTGTAGGTAAACAACCATCAAACATGGTCACGCGTATTGTTACCAGGTAACATTTTCTGAAATCTACTTTTTAAATTCAATAGACTATGGGTACTATATAGAACGGAAAATATTTTAAGGCAGTTTTAGTGGTAATTGATTTTAGTACATTATTTGGATTTAAAATTCAAAGTGCGAATCATTGTAGGAGAGCCAGAAATACCATAGTTTAGCCTACCTAAGTATGTTGTACAGTTAGTCACGAAATATTTGAGTAATCAAAAACAACAAATAAAAACACTAAATCTTATTTTTCTTGCTTTTTTATCAACAAACTATGTAATAAGAATGGCGAAATCTAGGTTTTCAATCATTCGGAATTCCGTTTCGATAAACCTTTTCGGAATATCGGTTCAAGATTCCGTAAATCATCATCACCATTATAACCCTTCACAAGTGCACTGCTGAACATAGGCCTCCCCCAAAGAATGCAACAAAGCACGGTCCTGAGCCACTTGCATCCATCGACTTCCTACATGTCTAACCAGGTCGTCACTCCATATAGTGGGGGGTTGCCTACTGTGGTACACTTCGGCTACCGGTACGACGCTGCCACTCGAAAACCTTTTTTCCCATCGGTTATCGGTTCTTCGAGCTATATGGCCGGCCCATTGCCACTTCAGCTGACACTCATTTCTAAGTTTATGACGCAGAGAAAACCCGAGCATAGCCATCTTCATAACTCGCTGAGCGACCTTGAGCGCCCTCACACGGCCAGCAGTAAAGGACCACGTCTTAGTCATCATTGGCAACACGCACCGGTTGTACAGTCTCGTTTTCAGGTTTCGAGATATAGCTGACGAGAAGATGTGTCGTAAATTCCCGAACGCTGCCCAGCCGAGTTGAATCCGTCGATTGACCTCACGGCCGAAGTTGGACTTACCTAGTCGGACTATTTGTCCCAGGCAAACACACTCGCCAACAACTTCAATCTTTTTACTTGGTAGAGCCATGCTGCAGCTATATTACGGGTATAATTGTAGCACAAATAGGTCGACTCGACCGGAGAAGGACCACGCTCTCACGGAATACCAGCATCAAATAGCAGTTTAACGTTTCTGTATTTCGTTTGGCTAGTGTAGGGAACCGAAGACCCTTTTTACTGGAAAAGAGGCATTCCATCTTAGTCCTCATGGGTGAAGATGCATCTGCATTTTGATCCGTTATCGAGGATAGATGTAGATGTCTATGGGTCACAGCAACCACTTGCCGTCAGGTGGACTGAGTGCTCGTTTGCCACTATTATACTATATAAAAAAGTACTCCCAACAACTACCGGCATAGCTGTGATGTATTATTAACTTAGCGTATGTGTTATATTTAACAAATATAAAATCTTACGAGCTGCGACCATGTTGACCGTATCGCCTGCGGGTGGAGACGCGTTGACCGCTTCTAGTTTCTTCTGTATCCAAATATTTCTCCACTCGTCCTTCCAATGTTGCATCTCCAGACTGGAACTAGAACTCCCAGAGGCCAAATCCCTGTTCCTTGCTCTGCGGTTTGCTAACAAATTCAACATCAGATCTTTCTGGAAACCTTGCATATCATCTACAATGCCCTTAGCTTTGAAAATATTATTTCCTGATGTTTTGAAAGTGCCTCTACTTCTCTGTGCCGCTACTTTCTTTCTTATTGGTCTACTTTCTATACCGTCTTCGTTCATTTTAAGATAGTTATTTCGTATTTCTTTTTCTTGTATAGCATTGGAGAGTCCATGTTTATTTTTTGGCAAATAGCGTGCTGCATTATCTTTATATTCCGGATATAACACTGGATATACAGCGTTTATAAATGTATATAATATTATGAAACTATAAACAAACCCCATTTTGAGCCCTACATGGCCAGCCAAAGAGTTAACCGTGAAACGGAAGAGTGCAATAAAATATTTATGGCAGAAATTTATTTAAAAATAATAAATGTAAAAATTTTAAGTTATTACTTATATGAAATAAAACCGTAAATCGACAGAAAATAATTTTAAGCAATAAAACTTCCAACGAGTACGATTGAAACTGCGGCCACTTGAATAGCATAACCAATAGTGAATTCTGTGCTCAAATTTCAGTCGGAATATTTGTACAAACACACAATATCTAGGTTGTCGGATTTGTTTGTAGGTGTACATAACTATCCGTCTGTCTCTAACAATGAAATATCAATAAGGACTAAGGACGCGAGTGTCCGTATGTGTAGGAGTTTTTTTTAAAGAATAAGGGAGACAAACGAGCACATAGTCCACCTGATGATAAACGGATGCTATGGTCCATAGACATCTACATCTATCCTCCATTAAGAATCATAATTCAGATGCGTTGTCACTCTTGAGAACTAAGATGGAATGCCTCGTTTCCAGTAAACTTACCATACGAAACACAGCAGTATTAAGCTGCTATTTTACGCTGGTATTCAGTGAGTGTGGACCTTCCCCGGTCGAACCGAACCACTTATGCTACAGCCATAATATAGCTGCAACATGGTTCTACCACGTATTAAATACCCATAATTACCCATCAGTGTCTAGTGATACATCGACAATTGTTACATCTAAGCCATTGAGCTATTATGTACTACGTCTAGGCTATCAAGGTGTGAGGTATTAAAACCGTTGGAACTATGCTGTTCTTTTTTTAAAGTGCTCTTTAAAGTGCATGAATTGTGAGTTCATAAGATTTACTATTACTATTTTCACCGCTATATTATTTAGAAAGTTCAGTCACGATGTTTGGACAAAAAATGATTCATTAATTTGATCCGTTCTATATAATAATTACAAAACATATTGCGAACTGTGTCAAAAAACCTGTATAACTAATAGCGACCACAATGGCCACAAAAAATCTGTTTTTGTAGCTAATTGTAATTGTCCCGATTTTAAAATAAAATTCCCGATTTTATATGACGCATAGCTACAGGATAAACAATAGTTCGCGCAACACAACGTAAGGAATGATACTTTGTTAAATAATATTATTTAAATTAATTATTAATAATTTTTCAAGTTTATTTAATAGTAAGCAATTTATAACTAAAATATTTATCCCTACAAAAGATATATTTGACGGCTCCGTGGCGGAGTGGCTTAGAAATAAGTTTAACTCTAAGGGCCGCGGGTTCAATTCCCGCACGAAACAAAAATTTGTAAAACCATAAATAATTGTTCCGGGTCTGGATTTTTGTCCTTGTGAAATTTTATGTTCTTATGTTAACTGTCTCCACTATATACTTAGGAAACATTCTTAGTGTGGAGGTAACGTTATTATAAAATAAAAACAAAACAGATATGAACCATGCTAGCTCAAGGGCAAAGTGATCGCCGTAAACGCGAACAACTCGAGTTCGATCTCCGCCGACACCAATGAAATTGTTATTTAGATAAATTATCTTTACATTATGATACATAACAAATGTATATCGAACGAAATCTGTTTTATATAATACGTATTTTTCAATTCGAACATATATTACTTACTCCTTTCCAGTTCTTAACTAACTTGGCGTTGTGAGATTCCTTAGTCTACTTACTCAATAGAGTAAAAAAGAAAAGCCGACTTCAATTTACTACAAGAATAAAATAATTTATATATATTAGCTTCCGATGTCAGGACTAGATCGGATATTAATTCTCATATACACTATGTCTCAGCTACGACCTCATAAGCTATTACTTACAAGAAGTTTTCTTCTTCACACAACTTCCTTGTGTAATCATTACTTACTACCACCAGTCATTTTTCCGGACCGATACGACGCACCTTCAATTTTCCTGGTGTTGCAGTTGTCATGGCTGACGGTCGACACATACCATCAGGTGAGCCTTATGCTCGTTTGCCCTCTGTTCTATAAAAAAGACTATTAGTCCTTTAAGTCTACTCACCACAAACATTCTAAATCAATAATGTACACGCAGATGTTCGTCCGTGATAGGAATAAAAAGACAAGTACTTTCATCACTCAATACATAATAATAAAACTGAACTAGCTTTCTTGATACTTACTCGTGCAGTGTTTTAATTTTAAAGTTTTATTTCGTACTGGCTGGTACCCGGCGCATTGCTGAAATAATAGTGGTAATTAAATTTGGATGAGTTATATTATTTAATTATGTATTAAAGTACATTCATCGAAATTGAATGATATAAACTTTCAAATAAATTTCTTCGCGCAAGTGCAAGCAATACAACATAGATTTAGTATGTTTTTATATTTGACATAGTTACCTTTAAAAATATTCAGATAAAAATATCATTAAAATGTACTTGTGATACAATATTATATAATATTCTATCAAATTAGCACATATAATATACAAAATAAATGACAATTTAAAAATTTTAATCCTATCTACCTAATAACTCCTATTTACCTAATTAACAATACAATCTACTATTGCATACTGAACATTCTACCTCTACGTTTATTCTATGATAAAAAAGCAACCGCGCCTGCGCCACACTACCACATAAGACAGTACTCCACAGAGTACTTTTTGTACTGCACTACTCTTTACTGCGCACTTGTATACCCAAACGCGGTCTCCACTCTATGACACGCCTACTCCAACGATTATCGCTTCTGCGACAAATGTGACCAGTTCTTTGCCACTTCAGCCTGCAAATACGGAAGGCTACGTCGGTAACCTTGGTTCTTCGGCGGATTTCTTCATTAGGAATCTTATCCACCAGAGAAACTCCGAGCACAGCTCTTTCCATCGCCCGCTGGGTGTCTTTGAGTTTGTGGAGTAAACGTAACATGAGTGTCCACTTTTCGACACCATATGTGAGTACTGGCAGGACGCACTGCTCGAAGACTTTCGTCTTTAAGCTTTGCGGCATGGGCGACGAAAAGACCTGACGAAGCTTCCCGAACGCTGCCCAGCCCTACTGAATCCGCCTATCTGCTTGCTAAGTTGTTTTTTTCTATCTGCATTATTTGGCCGAGGTAGATATACTCCTGAACAACTTCAAGAATTTCACCATCAACGATAATCGGATCTGAAATGACATGACTGTTAAACATGACTTTCGTCTTATGAGGCTTCGGAGGTTTCATTTAGGCTACTCAGCATGTCTTGTAGTTCCTGCAGCGATTCTGCCATGACGACGATATCATCGGCAAGCGTAGGTGTGAGATGTGTTCGCCGTTTATATTGGTGCCGCGTCTATTCCAGTTTAGCGTCTTAAAAACTTCCAGTGCATTTGTGAACAGTTTCTGGGATATTGTATCCTCCTGTCTCACTCCACGATCCAACTGGATAGGTTTTGTAAGAAGACCCTGTACTTGGACAGACATCGAGCTTGTAGTAGTTAAATGACAAGACATCTATATATCATCAGTCAATACGGCAACGCTGCAAGGAATTTACAACAGCCCAAGTTTCGATGATGTCAAAGGCTTTCTCATAGTCCACAAAGGCCAGACACAGAGGCGGATTATACTCATTCGTCTTTTGTGTAATTTGCCTTACTGTGTGAATATGGTCTATGGCCATATCCATAGCCTCCTGGAAACCCAGCCTGCTCGGGTGGTTGAAATTCGTCAAGTCTCCGCGCGAGTCGATTTATTATGACCCTTGCAAATAACTTATAGACGTGGCTCAGAAGCGAGATGGGCCGATAATTCTTTAACATTGTCTTGTCATCTTTCTTGAAAAACAAGACTGTGATGCTTCTGCTCCACGCCATTGGAATTCTCCCATCTTGTAAAACGCAGTTAAAATTCGACAGAGCTCTTTAAGCAACGGTTGTCCCCCCGGTTTCAAGAGCTCTGTTTTAGGTAACTCCGTCCTCTCCAGGGGCTTTTCCATTTTTAAGTTGCCCGAGGGCAAACTCGATCTCCTCTAGACAGATATCTGGCAGTTCGTAAGTCGGTCGGTGGCGAGTTAGTGTGGTTCTGGGATCGTCGTATTTGGAATCTGGTTGCTGATTCTGAGAGGCATATAGTGTACCGTAGTAGCCTTCGATCTCAGCGAGAATTTCAGGCTTCGACGTGAGGGTTTTGCCATCACATGTCGTCAGTTTTGTAACGTGGCTCCTCCCAAACTTCCGAGAAAAGACTTTATGACCCTTGTTTCGCTTTATTGCTTCTTGATTAAGGGTTGCATTAGAGCGCCGCAAGTCCCGTCGTACAGCTTTCCTTACGAGTCTGGTGAGTGCCAACTGTTCTGATGGCGCGGATGTTGTTACCTCACGTCGCTTTTGCATAAGCTGAAGTGTCTCGTCTGAGAGCTTAGACTTCCGGCCTATATGTTGCCTACTGCACAACCTATTCCCCTCATCCCTTAAGGTCTTAGCCACACTAGTGAGATCCTCGTCAATGTCCAATATGGGTTCGAATCGAATCGATTCCGGAGTTCCAATTGTAAACGTTGGGATCCCGCTACGGTTTGAAAGACATTTGGTCGGAGCGTAGACTTCATCAGACGGGCTCTTTCAATCTTGAAATCGATATTCAGAGTTCCTCGAACAAGTCGGTGATCACTTCCGGTATTAAATCTATTGATCACTGAGACATCTCTGAATATGTACTTTTTGTCCGTCATGATGAAGTCAATCTCATTGTTCGTCCGTTGTCGGGGCTGTGCCAGGTCCACTTCCTTGTGGATATACCTATATGTTTCCTAACTTTGGCGTTAAAGTCCCTATGACGATATTAAAGTGGGCT